GATCTGTATTCTTTCCAAGTAACTCCAGACTCTTTATCACCTCTATTTTGGAGGATGGTCTCATGCTCTCTCTGTTTTAACATAAATTAGCTTAAGCATTCTCATTTTAAAGAACAAAAGATTCAAAATTCTCAACTACTTCTTCACTAAAGAGTTCTCTCTAAGCAAGTTACCTTCAGCTCCATAAGCACTTTGGGGTTTTCAGCTATGAATTTCACAGTTAGTGCAGTCATTGTAGAAGTAGTTTCATAAGACGCAATCAGTAAACTTAGTATTAGCTCTACAGATCTTTCCTCGTTCACCGTATCGCCTTCTTTCTCCACCTCATATATCATCGTCTCCATGAAGTCTCCATATTTTAATTCATCCCATGTTCCTTCTTCTCTCCTCTCTTTGAACATTCTTTTTATCATCTTCATCACATTTCTGCGTGCCTTTACATTGGAAAGTGGATGCAGGGTGTTAATAACCAGAAAAAATCCTTGAGCTGACGAGTTATGGACAGAGATCTTACCTTAAGTCCATTGTAAAGAGCGTTCCAAAAAGAAGGATCAAAAGGGGACATAACCAAGTCGAAGCTGAAATCTCTAAAGCTTTCTATCAGTTTGATCTTAGTCTCAGGTTTGATGTTACTTATGATCATCTGGATCATTTGTTCCAATATCAACTGCAATACAACAAAAAGTAAACCTCATCAAAACAGAAAAGTGAGTAAGGTAGACATTTGATTGCTTAAACTAGATGGACTTAGGGCTTATTATACTCTTCCACTAGTGTCTTTGACGTCTAAAACGCCTTGGAAGGAGACAGATTTGAGATGCTCGCGTGTAGCTATGTCGATTTGTTGTATAAATCTCTGCTTCAAACGTTCAGGGCCAAGAAGCTGCAGAGCAATCTGTCTCATGTACCTGTGGAAGTCCTTTCCTTGCTTGAAGAACAAGTTATCTTTCCCAAAGATTCTAACAAGAGCTTCTGGATAGCTCATGATGAAACCCCTGTTGTCTTGTTTGAGAATCTCAAAGTTCACTTCCGGGTCTGTCGAAACAATCGTTTTAGAGCCAAGGATACTCGTCCGGAACAACGAACCACCGTGCCTGAAGCAAAAACCAGAGAGATACATTAGAGAAGAAAGAAGAGAAATGAGGCAGAATCTTGAAACCTGCAGATTTAATAAAAACCAACTTGAACATTCTTTTCTTGACAAATGGATGGATTTCGTCGAAACTGTAAGGTTTGAAGAACTCAATGGTTTCTCCGATCACCGGAAACCCCATTGAACCCGGAGGTAGCTTGCCGGAGCAGTTAGGGTTAGCCCATCTATAGAGCCAGAGACTGATCTTGACGACCACTAAAGCTATAACAACACTCAGTGCAACACCCCACATTTCTTTCTTAATATCTTAACTAATGATTGGTAACCACCCTATATTGTTCGTATGTATAAATAGCTTCATATTTTGAGGAAGCAACATGCAAAAAAACCAAATCTTACAATACAAATAAGTAAAAGAAATACATAACTTCAACTATAAAGTTTTTATTTACTTTGTGTTTGCTTTGATATTTGTATATAAATTTTAATCCAAGTTAGTTGGCCAACTATGAGAGCTTGACGACCACCAAAGCTATAACAACACACAATGTAACAGCTCACATTTCTTGTGCAATTATTAATTAGCTATTAGTAAACACTGATTTTGTTCACAAGTATAGCTTCAGAGTTTGAAGAAGCAATTTGCAAGAAAGCCAAGTGTTACAAGTTATAATACTTTTAACATATTTAAATTAATAACACTAGCTATAAAATTGTGTACAATTGGTATCTCCTACTTTTGATGCTTGTCATATTTTTTTTGTAGATAATATCTCACAGACAGACATATAAGTCAAGGAGCGTTTTCCTTGTTTGGACCAATTGGGTCCTTTCAGTCCAACCTCATAAACTCAATCTAGACAGAAAGGTAGATGTGTTAAACCAAAATGCTTACATCAAAAGAGAGTGCTCTTAAAATGTTACATATAAAATGAAAAGGAATCAATCAATGGCATTAGAGGTAGGCAGAAAACATAATTTTCCCGCCAAAAACGTAAATTAATAATTTTTCCGCCATAAATTGTGACTTCGAAAATTTTCTGTCAAAAATGTGAATTTGCAATTTTTCTGTCAAAAACGAGAATCTCCAATTTTTACGCCAAAAATTGTGAATCCACAAATTTTCTACCAAAAATATGAATCTGCAATTTTCCCGTAAAAAATGTTATTTCACATTCTTCCCGCCAAATGATGGTGATGATGATGATGATGATGATGATGATGATGATGAATGTTTATTTTTTATGGTAATTATTAATTAATTTATCACTTTAATGGATTATTCCATTTAACCATTTAATCCATCAAATTAAATGAGTTCATGAGTTGACCTTATTCATTAAACAAATAAGTTCGGTCAATTCATGAACTCATTTAACTCTAAAATCATTGGATAATGAGTTGAGTTTAGTTGGGTTATCTATTTGACACCCCTACTATTAATAAAACAGTTGAGGAAAAGAATATTAAAAACGAAACTCTTCTCTCTATGTTCTTCATTTCATTTTGAAACATAAACTAAACAGAAAGAAAAAAAGCTCTCGGGAGTGGAGAAAAATGGAGAAGCGCGAATGGTAAGATTTCTCACAATCTTTTGAGTTTTCATAATCTGTGCAGTTGAGTTTGAGCTGAATTCAGATTGAGTTTGAACTGGATTCATATAGAGTTTGATTTTGATATAAAGATGATTATACTAGTGTTTAAAAACTTCTCTGAATCTCTTGTTTATTATCATGTCGAGATCTGATTTTGACCTAGTTCAATTTTGAGGTTAATTTCGAGTTTAATTTGATTCTGAGTCTAAGTGCTGTATCAAATGATAAATCGAGATTGATTGCAAATTTGAATGTTAATTTTGAGGTTGATAGCGAGTTCAAAGTTAATTTTGAAGTTGATTACGAGTTTGAGTGCCAACGAGAGTCCAAATTTCTGAGAATTTTTGAAGAATTTGTAGATCTACATGATTTCTTAATTTCATCACTGATATTGATGGAGATCAAGTTTGATTTGGATGTGTAGATAATCAGTGTTTGTATTTGTGTCGAATCTTTATTTTGTGTGGTTTGAGAGGTTGAATGACAAATCTGTTGCTTACGTACGTTTGATTTTTGTAGAACCCAATTATGTGAAGAGGAATAAGAAACGCAAATCCTATGGTAAAGCTGCTAAACTTTAGTTGTTTATAGAATATTAAAACCGAGTTTCATTCTTTTGAACTTGTTTACTTGTCATAAAATTTTATATCAAATTTACTCCAAAGACGAGAAATGCAAGCAGAAAGGCGCAAAGGAATGGTCAGAGGGGTTAGATGAATGATGAAGCAGAACATATAAGTCTTCCTGCACAGAGAACTGGTGAAAATAGTTAGAAGTGTTTCTTATTGATAATTCTGAAACAAATTTATAGAGGTTTCAATTGGTAACTATTAAAAGAACAAAAAAATGAATAAAAAAAAACAATGCGGGATAGAACAAAGGGAATTTGGTCAACTCTACCACATTTGACCAAAATCTTTCCACTTCTACCACATTTGATAATCTTCCACTCATACCACATTCATGTGGTATTGTGGTATAAAAAATACAGTTTTGCCCTCAGCTGATGTGGCAGATAAAGTGCAATAAACCTATTCGGTGATAAAAATCAAATGAAATATAAACATCAAACAAAATGAAAAGACCGCAATTAGAATTTACGAGAAACAAAATCGAAGAACAATGAATTAAAATCGATGGACAAAAACCAGCTAACATGCAAAAATAAGATGAAATTGTGGAAGGCTCAAACTTCAGGGACAACTGTATGTAAACTTCCTTTTGTGTACTCAAACAATGAATTTTGTTTCCGAAATTTGAGCACACAAAATAAGGGTAAAATGGTCATTACACACGACAATTGTGGTAGAAGGTTCAATAAATCTTTTTACTGTTATCTAATTCCAAAATAACAACATATGGAACAAAAAGTAATTAATTAAGGGTTTAGCATGACACACATCACCAAACTTCTGCAGATTAACCCAAATATTTTGACCAGTAGATTAATAACCAACAAAATGATTAATCTACCAAATCTTACTAAAGTAACAAGGCTTTTATTTGACCCCCTTGAGAATGTCAACGACGTAGCTATCCTGTCCTCCAATTATTCTAGATTGGCAATACTGTTTCCAAATAATACATTTTACACCTGCAAAGCCTGATGTAACACAAAGATGAATCATAATAAAGCATAAATCATCAATGAGCTCCATAAATAAATTAAACAGACACATAGCTCTGCAAATTGACAATTTTTTGTGCTTAGATATGGAGTTGATGCTCAAAACACCTACATATTTTTGAGCATCAAATACATTAATTAGATATAAAGGTGAATTATAAAACACAAATTATCCATTACACATTGCTCCGTAGCTTGACCATCTTTTGCCCTTTGGTAGTTAATAGGAATGTGAAACTAGTAATGTTATTATGTTAATATGGTCTTTAAGCCCGCAGGCCTAAACATGCTTTATACACTATGTGAAACTATATATATATATATGCTGATATGCACATCTCTTTGATATTCTCGAAGAAGCTATCTCATCTTTCTATTACCACAGAAAGTCAATCAAGTCTCTCACACAATTCATATTACCACAGAAGCTAAACAACCGACGTCGTTTGTCAAAAAAAGGAAGCATAAAATAAAAGTAATATTTAATAAACCCTAGATGCATCATGCATGCTCGATTTCGTACACACCAAGATTGCGCTACTCTTGTAATTATAAGTTAATAAAGGATTCAAAAAAATAAGTAACTTTCTCATAATTGAGTTTAATTATTTTTTCCATTCTAATATGAATTTAATTACATAACACATTTTTTTGTCATGTTCATATTGTTTATCTAACCAAAAAAAAACAAATCACAATTACAGTAGATATACCAATGTTATTTCTGATAAACTCATGATTCATAATTAGAAATTAGTTATTTTTATAATTTAAACATTGAAATAAAACAAAATAAAACTTGAAAGACTTATAAGATTCTTTATTTAATTTTCGTAAAATATTTTACCTCTACTTCGTTATAATGCAGGTTTTTGTTTTGAAACTTTTAAAAATGTTTCATGTTTATGTTCTTAATTGTGTTCAATAGTTGGTGTTTTATGTAGTTATAGATTATTAATTTAGTACTGGACGTTTTTTTATTATTAGTTTACAGTACGTTGTAAACTAAATTTCTATAGTATTTCACACTTAGTTTACCAACTAAAAAGTTATAAACCTCTTTTGTAATTTAGTTTTGGAGAAACCTAGCTTTTTAGGTTTAGGAGTTGGATGCATTTAAACTTAATCTGCCGTTCTTCCATTGTGTTTTTAGCAACAAAATCCAAAAATCAAAAACCCAAAAAAAAAAAAAAAACAAATAGAAAAAAACCAGAGTCATAACAAGGATTGGAAATGAAAACACTACACCTCTTCTAAATCGATACTTGTCTAATTTCCTTCAGCGATCAAAGAGTTAACCTCATGGAAAAACCTTGTCTTTAGCCACAAATATTCAGATTCTTTTTCTTTGAGCAACTTGAACTTCTCTTCGAGCTCCTTCTTCATCTTCATCGATACCATGCTCCATCTCTGTTTCACGACATCTTCAGCCACCCCAAAGCTCGCAATTGATCCTACAAGAGAAGAATTTACGAACCAATCTAATACCTTTTCTTCATTGGGTTTCAAAGACTCCTCCTTCACCTTAGTAGATTCCCAAATCAATTTGGAAAGTTGAAAACATTTCAGGTCGTGAGCCTTTGCAAAAGATTTCTCATCTGCACCCTTGTTCCTCTTTCGGAGATACTTGTCCTTTAAGCGACGGATCTTGGTAGTGAATTGACTCTGATTCGCTTGAAAGCTAATGATGTTCTTCACCGTATCAATAAAAGCAGTCATATCATCATAAGGACTCTTCCCTTTATCATTCTTGAAATCGATCATGCCTTGCAGCAAGACGATCTCATCATCTTCACTCCACTTCCTTTGAAAATAATTCTTTTTGGTAGGAGGATAATTCTTACCAGGATCTTTTTGCTCTTCTTCCTCAGACGAAGAACCTGCCTCCTTACCTTCTTCCTCAGACGAAGAGCCTGACTCATGTCCTTCTTCCTCCGTCGCCATTTCCTCGTCGTCGCCTGAAGATTCTGTCGTCAGTGGATTTTCCAACGGAGGACTCCTCTTCTTCGTCGGTGGTTCTTCCAACAGACACCTCTTCACCGTCGATGGATCTTCCTCCGGTTTGAGACGCTTGCTCTTAGGTTTGGAAAGCTTGTTCTCCGGTTGTGAACGCTTCTTGTTCTTCTTGGCCATGTGACTTTTGAGAGAGCGGGAGACGAAAAGCTTTGTTATTCCTTTCATTTTTTTTTTTTGTCAAAGATAAAAAGAGTTAAGTGTTGTAATGAGATAATAAAGATATTCTATTTATTGTGTTGTTGGACTCGTCACTCGCCGCTTAGTATCTAGGGTTAGGTAATTGTCGCAACAACTTCCAAGAAGAAGGGCTAAAAGGAGACCTCTTGATAACCTCGAAACTGATAGTTGTCAAGTTGAGTATAAGCTTTCTCTTAGTCTCATCATTGATGTCACTAATGATCACTGTCCCAATATCAACTGCAATCGAACAGAAAGAAACAACCATATTATAAAATAAAATTAAAAACAGAGAAGTTGTGTCGGATCTTGGTTGCTTCTTGACCAAGTCAGGGTTCGTTATACTCTTGCAGCAGTATCCTTCACTTCTAAGACGTCCTGAGAGGAGTGTGTTTTGAGATGCTCGTGTGTCGCTATATTGATTTCGTTCATAAATCTCCCCTTCAGACACTCGGGACCAAGAAGCTGCAGAGCAATGTGTCTGATGTATTTGTAGAACTCCATGACTTGCTGTAAGAACAAGCTATCTTTCCCCAAGATTAAAGAGATGTTTGAAACATAAGGCCAAGTATAATCATTTCTCATCTCTCACTTCCAGTCATCCACCAACATTAAAAGAAAGCTTCAATTTCCCAGTAAAATAACCAATCGAAATCTATCCTTTAGAATGAGGAAAGGAAAAATTGCAAACGTAGATTTTGAAAAAGGATAAAGACCTTACAGACAATTACAACAATGACAACCTTATGGCTTGTATGTTTATAATGTATGCTTTTACATTCATATGAACATCGAATTTCAATTTCGCTTAAATGCTGGTGTTCTGGATGGTCTGATTCAGAGAAGTTCCACGTTTGTTCAGCTTCGTCAAGAGGTAAGCCAATGCGACTTTAGCACCTAAGGCGGAGTGACCACGGGACAAACAGATCGCACCGCCCACAAGTACTAGACCTTTTGCTATCAGTTTCTTTGATGGCTTTCTCAATTTTTTCTTCTGTTTGGCTACAACATGACTTAACAGTCCTTCACCACTACTTGTTCCAATGGAGGCTGTGACATTATCTGTCTGAGTTTCTAACTCTGATGGAACCTGGAGATACACCAACCATGTCAGTGAAGACTCAACCGGTTGCTTTATGCATATTCGGTTTCAGGACACTAAATTCCATATTACAGAACAGATTTTTTATATGAATCTCACCTTTTTCATTAAGGTGACAGCAGATAAAATGGGTCCTTGGGTTCTATGACTGGTTGCTATGTATTTACAAAGAGCGTTTTCCATCTTACAAACGTAACTCCATATGCCTTTTGAGAAGGCGAGCTTCGCCATCTCAACATTTAACCCAGCATTCTCCTGGTGAAACATTTTGATCTCACAAGCATTTCGACCGGGAACTGTAGCAGCAAGTGTAAAGGTTAGCAGTTAGATAAGTATCAAAGGTAGAAAGAATGCTGACAACAGTAACAGAAAAAGAAACTAAGGACCGTGTTCACCATGATCAATCAATATCTGATTATATGGTATTCAAACAACACTGACTAAACCTTTAGGTGAATATAATTGATAAGCAAACCACTTGCCTTGCCTGATTCTCCAACCAGATCTAAAATAGCTTACACGTACGTAATTCCTCTGTCGCGGTACCATATTGTGATCACATTCCTAATAATAACCAAAGAGCAACACAATAAGTAAAGAAGCAACAACAAATTGTGACAGAGAGAGAGAGAAGTTTCAGTTGATTTTGACCTTTGTGAAACAGTAAAACTTGCCCTTTCCTTGCCACAATCTCCAAGCTAGTACGTACTCTCTTGATGTCAACAAGGGAAACTTTTTGATTGTGCGACCAATCTCAATTCCGGTACTACTGTCAACCTGCAACTGCTCATGCTCAACAACAGTCTTATCCCATAGTTTCCTATAATCATTGTCCATGTAAAAATCCCTCACAATCTCTGCAGAGCAATCCTCGAAGACCGTAACACTTAGGTACTTCATAGGACCACCACCATCCTAAAAATAGAGCCAAAGGCTTATAATACTCAGTAATCAGAATAATAGACTAAAAAGACAAACTTTGAAAACGATTTAAAAGTAAGTACTTTGGGTTTGCAGCGTTTAGCAGTGTATGAAATGCGATGGTTGCTTTTGTGAATAACATTTTCCCATATCTCCGTAGAATCATTTGTTTCCTCCAAATTCTCGATCAGAAATTTCAAATCTTCATCAGAGACTAGTTTGGATATCCTGCAAAACGTATAGAGGAATCTTCAAAGTTTAAACATTTGAAAAGCAAAAGAAGCAGTTTTTTCATTAGCCCAAGTGAGTAATCAAAGACTTAATTGAGAAAAATCAAACCTTTTTGTTACCTTGATTGAGAGTTTATGGCATGAGAAACTGATTCGGTAGGTGAAGGAGAAGAAGAAGAAGAAGTGAAGAAGCGAAATTTAGAGGAAAAGAAGATATGAAAGAGAAGGATTAAGAGAAGCGAAATCGCGGTGGCCCATAAATAAGAATCAGAAAGAGCTCGCCGGGAAAGTTCTTCGGAGAAGAAAGACAAAGCCCAGTTCTTCATCGAATTCCAAAATCCCTACACGATATGCAATTCATTCATTCATCGTGGCGTGTGTTTTGTTCCAGTTGCACAAGGCAACGGATTCTGGACTCTGCTTTTTCTCTTTATTTTATGGTTTCGCCCCCAAGTTTTGATTTTCCTTCTTTTTGACCCCTTTGTTTTTTTTTCTTACAGTTTTTTTCCTCTTTGTTCTCAATCAATCAATGGGTGTTATATAGAAGAAAAAAAGCATGACCAACTAATGAAATTGAAAGAACCTGTCGTTTTAATTCAAGTATTATTTTACATGGAAGAAATGAAGTGTCAGAGAATCTCCTGATTCAGTAATGGATAAGGGCCATAAGGCAACGATTGACTCTATTGATTCTGTGACAATCACAATCACACAGGACTTGTTCTAATAGCAAATATGTGGAGAAACCCACAAAAAGACAAATATAATGATACCCGCTAGAGACTGACTAAAATGATTAATGAATGACTAAGGAGGGTACACTACTACCAATACCTGATCCACTTTGATATATGGCCAGTAATAAACCAAACTCTCAATTTCCTCTTTTAAGTGATACCCCCAAAATCTAACAAAAATGTATTATATTTGAAATCTATCCAACTTCATTATTCAAGAGTTGCTTGCATCAAATGTATCGGCTATTGGAAATTCACCTAGGAAACCAATTGAATTACCTTGCTAAATTCCAGACGGTTTTGGTTTGAGTCGGTTCAGAGTGGATATTTCTGCCTTGAACCGGTGGGCTTAATTATCTTCTTTGTTTATTGATTTGAGCCGCTTTCAGACCTCCGGGGATGATTATCAGGCCCATGGTATATATTGGGCCTGTGGTTTATATTCAATGATCAGGCCCATGGTAATTCAAGCAATTGACACTGTAGTATATGAACAAACCTGTGACATACATAAACATAACAAAGCTGGTCAGTTTTATGCGGACAAAAAATTTGCCAAATAAAACGGAATTAGTCTAGTCGACATCTAAATTAATATTATCATAGGGAGACATTCCACCACTTGGACCTCCTTTAAAATATTTAACTTTTATGGAAGGAAATGGAATGGTCAATGATACGTTGATACTCTCAGTACATAATAATGTAATCAAGTGGATAAAGGTATAATCAAAATAATGCATCCAAATCAAAACATAGGAGCATTTGGAGTTGCAGTTTCTGTCTGATGAGTTTGAGTTGGCCATCACAGACCGTGCTGAAACCCCAAGGCTTGATGTGAGTTTAGTTATTTTCCATCAATAAAGATTAAAGAGTTTGCTGGTTTCTCTCCTTAACTTGTTAACTTGTTGGTTTGGTTGCAGGAGATCTACCAAGTGAATCATGGACAAAACTGTGTTTCTGTTACCACAGAGCCTTCTCCAGGATCAGCAGTTAACCACAAACCAAGAATGAGATGGATTCCTTAGCTCCATAAGCATTTTCTAGAGGCCGTGAACAAGCTTGAAGAGCCTGAAAGTGAGAGTTATCTTTTTATGTGATTCCAACAACAAATCTATTATTCATGATCACTCCGATGTTTTTCTTCTTTTTGAAAGAGATTTTTTTGCTGCAAAACGTTAATCTAAGCAGGTTTTACTTTCACCATATGCAAAGGCAACTCCTAAGGCTGTTATGAAGCCAATGAATGTTGAGAGTTTGACCATCTATCAAGTCAAAAGCCATTTGCAGGTCCACTAACTCAACCATTTGAATCTGACAAAGATTTTAACTACATAAACTGAATTATCTTTGAAGCTGTCTTTTTCTTGCAGAAGTATAGACTAGCCAAGTATATGCCAGAGAGAAAACAAGGTAACTTGTTCTCTCATCTGCTTATAGTTCATTTATGATCATCTGAGACAATTTTATCTATTGATTCATTGTTGTTGTTGTTGTTTTTTTGCAGAGAAGAAAAATGGTAACTCAGAAGATAAGAAACCAGCTTCGAATACCAATGAAGCAGATGGTAGAAAGAAAGGGTGCGTCTTGCTTAACTTTTGGACTGTGGGATATGTTTTCAAACATTTTCCTTAAAAGACTCTATCTCTTTCTTTCTTTTTTTTGTGCAGAGCCATACAGTTAACAGAAGCTCTACGTATGCAGATGGAAGTACAGAAGCAATTGCATGAACAGCTTGAGGTAAAATACACCACTTTAACATTGGTGAAAAGGTTTCATTCAAGATTTGCTCTCAACCAATTCATGTACATGTTACTGCTGAGTGAGTAGGTACAGAGGTCACTTCAACTACGGATAGAGAACATGCTAAATACTTGGAGAAGATCTTGGAAGAAGAGCGAAAATCTCATAAAACCGATGCATCTGAACCTAAAGATGACAAATGTGAAACTTCTCGAAAACGTCCTAGACTTGAAAACTGAACATCCTTATAGGTAATAAGTAGTAAAACTTCAGGTCTATTTTTGTGTACTTGTGTTTACTATATGATCCAATGAAAGAAGTATATTGCCAAATTCCTATAGTTATTTACAAAAGAATCAATCAACAAAGAAGATGGAATTTTGCAGCCAATACAAAGAATATGAAAGAGATTTCAAATTCAAAAAAATCCACCGCAACCGACATCTTATATTTGGCAAATATATACCTTCCTATGTACCTCCTCTAATCTTTAACTTATAGTTAGCTATCTGCTGAAGAGACGAAAAAGCTCCTCCTTTTGCTTCTAGTCTTCCTTTAATTCTATGCAATAGTCTACAAATGAATCTCTTCTTGTTTAATCGCCTGTCAGAAACCAACTGAATCCCAACCCTCCATTGACCAGATGAGTTAGCCAGTGCGGGTGGCTTCAGCGGCCCTTTCCCGCATCATCTCCATTACAGCAGCTCTACGCCTTTTGTCCGACTGCTGCTGCTGCCTACTACTAATCTCTCTGAAATCTCTGTTAAAACGGAGATGCAACACTTACGAGTTAGCTATCTATCTATATATAAAAAGTTGTTTAATCAGTGTAAAAGCATGTGAAACTCTCTACGTACCTGCATTTGGGGACAGTGCATTGGGAATCTCTACAGCTGCGGGCATGGAGTCTGAGGAGATTCCAAACTCTCTTACAATGGGGGCAACGTCCAGGACCAGTCTTACATGCTATACAATGTCTGAAGAAGGTCTTAAACTTACGACAACCTTGATATTGGCACAGTGTAGAGCGGCATGCAGCTACATGTACCAGCACTTCTTTTAACTGCAAATATCAACAAACCACCGAGCTTTATTACTCTGTTTCTAGAAGCTACACACACATAAACAATCTCAATATAGGTAATGGCGTATTAGAAAATACCTTCTCTAGCTGGACTTGATAATTTTGACTAGCTTGCCTGTTCTCTTGTACAACAGGACTCTCGGTAGAAGATGAACGGTTTATCAGGTTATGTGAATGGTTGATAGACGCCTTCGAGTAACAGGCACTGCAGACATCATAGCCCGGACAAACTTCACAGTGCCAGCCTTGAGAGTTTTCAACTTCTTGTTGGCAGATGGTGCAAAATGTAGCAAATGCAGGGGCAGTTGGGTTGTGAAGATGATAGAGAATCATCATGGAAGAATGTTTGGCCCACCTTAGAGTGTCGTACTGATAGTTATTTCCTTGGCAAAGATTCAAGAAAGCTTGTCTGTTATCAAAGAATTCGCTCTCCAGGTTGTCATCTGTGTCCTCAATCTTGACGGGAACGTCTTTGATGGCCACCTGCAAAGATCCACACCTTGTCAGTTTCCAAGATACAAAAAGGAGAGAATGAAACTCTTAAATCTCTAACCACCATTAGAAACTTACGGGAAATAGCGCGTGTTTCTCTTTCTGATTAATCGGATGTCTCTCTATATTTATGCGGTTCTGTTCCACTTCATTACACCTATGGTTGAAAGACGGTTGTTAAGTTGAATGATTTGAAGTATTATATAGCCTGAGTATGATCATATGTAGCAGAGATCTTACTTGTCACAGATCTGAAAATTCTTGCAATGATTGCAGACCCACCGGTTTCCAGATACCATGAGAGTGGTACAATGCTTGCAGCAATGTTGCAAATGAACCATTATAAAATCTTCCTTCATCGGACAAATGGTCTCACCGAGCTACAGAAAAACAGAACAAATAAATAAAAGCTAGTGGAAGCAAGATCATAATAGTGGAATAGAGAAATGAGAAGTTACTTTTTGCATCATAAGTCGATCCTTGGAGGCATTAAGAGAAAGGTCCAACTGGCCAACGGCTTTTAGGGCTCTTTTCGATATGACCTTTTTGGTCAATCCTTTTCTATTTAACTTTGTCTCACCATCATCTTCTTGGTTCATTTGGCGTAGTAAATCCTCAGCAGCACTTGGCCAGTAGTCTCCATCAAAATATGGCAACCTTGCAGCAGTTACATTAGCTCTACATTCACCAGACTGGACAAAAAAATGATTGTAGAGGTTTGTGCATTCAACGACCACATCTTCTTTTGAAGCTTTTCTTAACATTGCCAAATACCTGAAAAGGTAGGAATGTGATTAGTGCCAACAAAATGTCCATAACACTTGACAAACAAGTAAAAACAAAACAGTCGCGGTCTCATACCATTCCCTTAGTTTGTCAGTCTTTGGAGTCTTCTGGATTTCAGGATGACAATAAAGAATGTAATCTTCACCCTTAAGTGGAGGACATGCCCATATATAGCAGCTTGTAAAACCACGTTTCTTACAATAATCGAGATAACCAATCTGCAAATTCGTAACAAGTCCATGATGATAAGTTTCGTGTACTCGTGAAGCAAAACACAAAACCTAAAGAAGATGGGATTAGAGATAAAATGGCTTACCAGAATTTCATGGTACACAAAGGTGCGAAGGGCTTCTCCAGACACAGTTCGAACCTCAGGTCTGAAATACTTAACAGAGTCCAGATAAGAAAGGTATACCCGCCGCTCATTGGGAGGTCCAGAGTCTGTCCCAAATTCCTGGACGAACATACCAAATAAGCATACTTCCACATTTTCAATCTTCTGAAACAGCAAAATGGCCTGAAACATATAAAGAAAATATCTCTTTGAAGTGCCAAACAAGCATCATGAAAATGAATAAGAACCAAAACCATGAACCATTGTTACCTTGGATTTATAAGGGAACTCAGTTGGATAATTTTTTTCTCGGAAAAGCTCAAGGAAACGTTGCTTTACTTCTAATACTTTATCAACCGATGCCACAACTCTGACAGTAAGTGATTCAGCTCCAGGGACCTGATATATCAATAATGAAGGTAGATGGTTATTATAACTGTTTCTAGACAAAATTTGCTCCAGGCTGTTCAAGTGAACCTAAAGCTCATGTATCGTAAAGGAACAAAAGCATAAAACAGTTGACAGCCTTAAAGAGTTAGAGATCACCTCCTCATAAGTTTTTCCTTGAAGTCTAGCCCTCTCTTGTCTTTCCTCCCTCAACTTTTTGAATAACCGCTCCTCTAGATGGTTGCTAAGAGCAGTAACTGGTAAATTTGTTGCCCCCGGAACAGCACTTAGTGGTAATGGTCTTCTTTCTCTTTGTTCCACCTCTTGTATATAGCAATTAGGGCAAGTGTACTTGGTGGTTTCTCCATGATTTCTTCGGCTGTTGAACAAAGCACAAATTTGATGCTGCCATGCTTCACACTTATCACATTGCACCCACTGCATAAAACCATTGGTTTGGTTCAGACACAAAAAAAAAAAAAAAAAAAAAAAAAAACAAAGGAAGAAGCAAATTTCAGAAATCATGAGGCATACATACCCCTTCCGGAACTTGTTCATCATTTTTCTTTTTCTCAAGCCTTGTTTTCGGTATAGAAGTTCCATCAAGAAAAACCAAGTTTTCACGCGCTTCATTGTAGCAAGGTGCACAGACATAATGCCTTGACTCACCAGCCGCAATACTATAGTGCAAGGCATTTTTCTTGATGCGTATACCACAAGGTGAGCAGTAGAGAGGTACTGGCTCAAATACAAGCCACTCAACAGCACATAACTGACAAGAATTCACAGACATGGAGCACCCCATTGCTTTGTTTTTGTCTGCCTTGGTTTTACTCTGAAAATAGAATTACAAAGAAACAAAAAAATTAGTATCGTGCATTCTTAGTTACTTTCAAAGAAACAAAAAACAGAACAAGGATACAGAGTAGGAAAAATTAGACCTTGTGAAAACCAAGAAAGGTTAAACAAGAAGTGAAGTTTTAAAATCTGAATGTTTACCTGTCCTACCCACTGACGAAGACTGCGGATATGCTCCTTTACTTGCTCAGGAGTAAACAATTCAACAAGTGAGGAGATTTCCATCTTAGACGCATCTACAACTTCCACAGACTGTTTCACATTCTCTTCCTTTGGTGCACTCATTTCATTCATACATTTGGATTTCCCTTGTGCCAATAAGCAACTAGTTTTTTCATCCATAACAAAACCACCACAATTATTACCCTTGGGAGTATCTTCAGCAACATGTTTCACCAGCTCCCTGGTAACGGGAATCTCAGAAGCATCAGGAACATCTATGTCCATAGGCATAGCCTCAACTTTGAGGCTTTGCAAACCATCTTTCTCTTGCATATTCATTAAGGAATGAGGTTTACAAACAACACCACATCCTGTCACCGAAATGCTCTTCGTCTCGGGAGTGATATTTTGGGAGGGTCGCTGTAATTTTGGGCGCTTGATTGAGCGTTGCAGATCAGCATCAACAGATGGAGCTTCAGCACCTCCTTTTTTATATGCTTTCCTGGATTTTGAGGATTTCTTGGGTTGACATTTCGAACTAGCTGAGCTACACTTAGCTCTACGGAGAGGTACAATTGTGTATTTATTCTTTTCCATGTATTCTCTGACAGCTACACAGGTACGGCACGATATGCTTTTGCACTGCTTGAAATGATCTAACCACATCCGAGTACCAAGACAATATCTATATTTGCAGTTAGGGACCTTGCAGCAGTCTATATGTTTCACTATCTTTCTGGCTTGAAAGCAAAACTTGCTCGCACACTTATCTTTCTTAGCCTTGCAATGACGTGCATGGAACATAAACGGAATCCACCGCAGAACGGTGTTCGAAGACGTTTGACCACAATCTTCATTAACCTGTTTACTTGATGTATCGTTTCCATCCCGAGGACGTTTCCTCTCAACAGTATTTCTAGGAGAAACAGTTTGACTGTTTATAGGCGCTATTGGAGATGAGACACGATGGACAGGTTCAGGCTGCATATGAGTATGTTCTCTCTGTCCATTATTGTTTTGTAATATTTCAGTTGAGTTCTGTAGAGATGTCTGCCTTTGAACCGGGATTGATTCCGACTGCTTTTGATGAGGATGTGGTTGCAAAGATGGAGAAGAATTCATCTGACTACTGTGGACAGATACACTTTGAGCACCAATGTAATGGTCTTGAACAGCAGTCTGTTGGCACTGCAACTTGGATGGTTTGAATCCATTTTTAGTAGCATGTTTCTGAAGAGCTTCTTCGTAGGATTCCAAGCTTGGTACATGCATGACAGGAGCAGCTAAAGCCATAGCTTGCTGAGTCAGATTGGGAAGTAAATGATCTTGGTTCTGGAGTTGGCCAGGATAAAGATTTTGGGAGTGTTGTCCTCGGTGCTGGTGAGACCCATGATTTAAGAGTTGTTGACTGACCTGAGGCAAGTTTTCTCTGTTATTGGGAGCAGATTGGAAATTAGTATTCCAAAGCGGATGATGTAGTTGACGTTTTGGCAATGGGGTTTGTTGCATTGGTTGCAGGTTTGAGTGATAACTTGTGACGGTAGCGTCAAGTCCCTGCATAGGATTGGGGTTCCATGGAGTTGAATTCTGAGAAACTGCCATTGAGCTAGATGACACAACAATTCCACAGGGATAGGGATTACTTTGACCAAAAGAAGCAACGTTGCTCATTGAGTATCCTTCACATGGGAGAAAGCAACTTGTAAGAAACATACCATTACATGAATTGCATAACAGAAGAGTGAAAGCGAAAAGAGATATATAGATAGATAGAGATAGGGAGAGAGATTACTATGCATGTGTGACTGATCAGGTGGTACACAGTTGAGAAGTGTAGCATTGAAGAGGTCTTGAGAAGTCATGGGTATATTAGCAGAAACTGGTACACAGTTGCCGTTAAATCCAGTAATCAGAGGACTAGAGATCCCACAAGTAATTTGGTTCATATTTGGCCTATTAACTTCAACCATCTGGTGATTAGCACCAGTAGAATGGTGTGTGTGCATGTCAGGCCCAATAGAAAATAATCCTGCAGATGATAAGGTATAGAGTCAAAAAGTAAAGAACAACATGTCAGTCGTATATGTTGAAAAAGAATCAGGAGAGATCAAAGATGTGTACGTACCTCCAGCTGCTGCAGTGGTGCAATTAATTGGCACAAGGCTTCTTCCGGATTGGAAAGAGTTGTTACTAACGCTCGTGGAAGTATGGACCGCGCGGGTAGGTGTAATACATTGAGCCCCTCCATTATTCATGGCAGCACGCCGCTGAGAAAGGATTGTTCCAAGCTGTTGCAACATAGTTTGTACACGAGCGTCAAAAGTTGTTAAATCGGAGTACTCATCAAATGATCGGGAAGACTTGAGGAGTTTTTCCTCAATCATTCTTGTTGCGGCAATACACTTTTGATCCTGCTTCTCTAAGATAGCATCTTGCGTGGGCTGCTGATTCTTCTTGTGTAGAAAGATTTGATGCTGCTGCTGCTGCTTGTGTTTTACGATAGCATAACTGGAGAAATAAACAATATATGATGGTTAATTGAGCAAATTAAAGATTAGATCATGGGATGAGACAACATATGTATAATAAGGGCAATAAAGAGAGAGCGAAGATGATTATGTTACATTCTATTTCTTAAAGCAGTGCGTCTCGCAACAGCAACAGAGTTCTGAGGAACATTATTATTCATATTTTTCTTTCAACAGAGCATGTGACCAAAGCCTCCCCTAGCTAAGACATTGTTGATCGACAAAGGATACAAAAGAAAACCTGAGCAAGCAAAATTGAGTTCGCAATTTTGATTAATTAGCCAAAAAAACAGTCAGCGAGAACGAACGAAGACGACCAAAGAAACAAAGGATGGTCTTGGTCGGTGACGGGGAACAATGGGAGGAATAGGGATTTGTCTTTTATATCCAAAATTAAATCAATCAAGCCCTTTATTTATTTATTTAGTTGACAAAATCAAACTAGTTTGACTAGGAAAGTTATGTTGTTATATTTTTTTTTTAAGACTTCAGGCCCAACCAACTAGTACAAAAAAAAAAAAAAAAAAGAGTTGAAAACTAAATACAATCGAATTATTATTTAGTTGTTTGTGTGAGAGATTGACAAATAAAAGTGGGAAGGAGAAGAGCTTAAAGGTTTGTGTGAGAGACATGGGCTTCTTTGGAGAGAGTTATGAGATCTTTTCACCAAGATAGGTTTGGTTTTGGTTTTATGTTTTAGATAGTAATAGATCAATAAATAATGATTTTTTTCTGAACCTATCATTCTAAACAAAACTTGAGAGATACAAACAAGAAACCACGCAAGACAGATCAAACTCTTAAGCAATAAAAAAAACGCACATACAAAAATGAAAGCAAAATAAAGATTTCTTCTTTGCCCAAGCTAGATACCCATTTCTTTAACAGTAAACTTAGGCCTGGGCAAATAAACCGAACCGAAACCGAAGTTAAAAAAATCGAACCGAACCTAACCGAAAGTTTAAAAATAACCGAATGGATAGTAAATTTAATAACCGAAATAACCGTAACCGAATCGGTACCGAACCTAAATATTTCGGATAACCGAAATATTCGAAATACAATTATATTTTCAAAATAATTTGTTATTTATAGACCAAATAATCAAAAATACTTGAAAATATGTAAAAATAGTTAAAATACTCGAAAATAACCGAAATATATCCAAAAATATTCGAAAATACTCAAAAAATAACCGAAATATCCGAAAATATCATAAGCAAAATAACCGAATGGATACTAAATTTTAAAACCGAAAGAACCGAAACCGAACCAAAATTTTAAAATATCTGAATAGATACTAAATCTTGAAACCGAATAGGCCGAACGGTTAACCGAAAGCTCAGGCTAAGTAAACTACACAAAGCAAAAGCCCAGAAAGGTGACCTTTTAACGAGCTGTCGTTTTTAGATTTTCGAAAACGGGACGCAGTTGGATAGCGAAAATAGTAAACGAGACATAGTTCTGTTTATAATCAGAGTGCAAACCGATGGCAGCCACAACAATTTCGCCGGCGATTAGGAAACAAATGAGCACCGTTGCCGTCGCAATGAAGGTCGCCGTTATCGGCAGCGGAAGTGGGATTTCTCAATTTCGTTCTTAGATTTCGTTTTCGGGTTTCATTCATGAAAATATAAGTTTTCAATTATTCAAATCGGAGCAGTTTCTGGAGCCGTGTGTGCATCGACTCTGGCAAGGAATGGCGTCTCCGTCACTATCTTCGACTCGGGTCGTGGACCTGGTGGACGCATGTCTCAAAGAAGGTTCCTTTTCTCCCAAATTACACGTTCCGAGTCTTTTGATAAAGATTGTTCCTTTTCACCTGAAAAGTGTTGTTTTAACTTTGAATGATATCTCGTTTAAGCAGAGAGATTGGAGAAGATGGGAAGGAGTTGATGTTCGACCATGGAGCTCCATTTTTCTGTGTGGGCAACTCTGATGCAATGGCTCTTGTTCATGAGTGGGAGTCCAGAGGTTTTGTTTCTGAATGGAAACAAGTTTTTGGGAGTTTCGATTGTGCCTTCAACAAGTTTCTTGGCATCCAACAGGTTTTGAAACATCAGTCTTTGTGCTTATTTTAAAACTTTAGTAGATTATGAAGTGTGATCTACTTGTTTCAGTATATGTATTTGGAAGATACTTGATACTGCGATTGATTGATACTACCAAGTAGTTTTAATGATTCATCTCGGAGTTTGAGGTTTTATTTTAGCTTAATGTGTTTAACTGTCTAGGAAGGGGATGCAAAGAAGTATGTGGGTGTTCCGGGCATGAACTCTATATCTAAGGCCTTGTGTCACGAGTCTGGTACTTTTCCTAATCTTTCTAGTCCAGAGATTGAACTCAAATCTCTGAAACATCAGTCTCTGTAATCAACTCCGTGATCAACATTGTAGGTGTTAAAACTATGTTTGGAACTGGTATTGCCAAGCTGGAATGGTTGGAAGAAGAGATACCATGGTTGTTGACTGATTCAAAAGGAGATAATTTGGGTCGTTTCTATGGAGTGGTTGCATCAGATAAAAACATTGTTTCTCCAAGGTTTACTCAAGTAACCGGACTCCCACCGCCACTGGGTAAGACTCGCACAAACATAGTCCTCCTAGAGTTGCCCTTTCAATGCTATATCACATTTATCTCTATTCACTTTTATTTGTTTTCATAACACAGACTTAAGTCTAGTCCCAGAGTTGGCGACTAAGCTGCAAAATATTCCTGTTCTACCATGCTTCTCTCTTATGCTAGCTTTCAAGGAGCCGTTGTCTTCGGTAAGATATTTGCTTGTCCAGTCTGTAATCAATGTTGGTTGATCAATCCACTAACCAAAGTATTTGGGTTCATCTACATAAGCTTGCAGAAACAGTAATCTAGTGAAAGCCTTATCTAATTTCTGTCGTTTTGCATATTCTATGATTTTTGAATCAGATACCAGTAAAAGGCTTATCTTTCAAGAATTCAGAGATTTTGAGCTGGGCTCATTGTGATAGCACCAAGCCTGGACGGTCTACTGATAGGTATCACTTCACTAACCAAAACATTTTAAATGTAAAATTAGAGTATTTGAGAAGTTGCAACCAAACGTATGGGGTAAGATTGTTTCAGTGTTCTAAATTCTGAGTGTTGTTATCTTGATTTTTTTAGTGAAAGATGGATACTGCATTCTACTCCAGACTATGCCAACAGTGTTATAGCCAAGACCGGCCTCCAAAAGCTATCAAGTGAAACACTAAACAAAATATCTGAAGAGATGTTCAAAGAGTTTCAGTGCTCAGGCCTTGTTAGTTCTCTCCCCTTTTTCATGAAAGCCCACAGATGGTAAGCGTCCTGACTCTTAGTCCTTCTGTTAATCGCTTCGCTTGTCAGCTCAATGATCTGTTGTCTCTAGGGGAAGTGCGTTTCCAGCCAAAAGCATAGCCGTAGAGGAGAGGTGCCTTTGGGATAGAAACAGGAATCTAGCAATCTGTGGAGATTTCTGTGTCAGCCCAAATGTCGAAGGTGCCATTCTCAGTGGCTTAGCTGCAACGTCAAAGCTTTTGCAGACTTCTAGCTGCTTATAGGTACGGAGGTACCATATTGAGTTTATCCCCAATACCTCGAAACAGAGTAATATATACATTTATATAAAGATTCTACTAGAATCATGTAAAATGACTATGACAATCTTCTTCGTGAACTCTATCCGCCGATGAAACAGATACATATCGGAATATCATGTGATCTTCCTAAATCTCTACTTTGTTCCTTGAGAAATGATAGCCAGCGCAGTTCTATCGATGAAAGTGTCATTCGCAGTGCTTATTGATGGATTCGATTGGCAACATCTACGAAATTAAGCAATGTAAATTATCCTGACAGTTTCTGCTTATTTGATGTGCATACCGGACAATGCCTTTGCGTTGATGAATTTATGTGCATTGGTAGACTCAAAGGATTCAATATATGTGCCTACCGAGAAAACTTGTTATTCTAAGGTTTTTGTTCCGAAAATTGATTTTGATTTATTCAAATACTGTTTCAGGAACCACTGCCTTGGCTATGCAATCACCTATCCCATCATGTCCACAGGTAGTGATGTTTCATATTATCTTATTGATCAATCGTTCTAGAGGTCCCTAATACCTTGAAACAAATGGAACTACGATGAAATATATATATATGTATAACGTCATAAGTGGTATTTTACATGAATCTACTGGGTACAAGGGTGAGGAAATGTTTTGTACAATCAGACACGCTCACGTTATTTCCCCCCGAAGAATTGTTCCAATATATAGCAATAGTAACTCTGGTTACACTCGATCATCAGCAATTCCAAGCACTGCTTGGAATACCAATGTCGGTCAACAGGCTCTCCGAGCTACCTTCTCCATAACTCTGTGATTCTTTAGCCCCGAGGCTTCCATCGATCTTAGTGAGCTGACTGAGTAGAGCTCTGAGAACCATCTGATCTGAAGAACAGAACGAGTCGAGGCCTGTGAGCGTAGCTGGAGCTGAACCACCAGTAAACAAAGGGTTAGGGTTCTTGCATGGAATCTTGAGTTCAGAGACTGAGGTGGTAAGGTTTGCGTTTAAGGTTTGGTTCTGTGACAAATTGGAGAAGCAGGGTACGTGCTCATTGATGATGAAGTGATGATCATCACTGAGGTAAGAAGAGGGTTCTTGGTCAAAGTTGATGTAAGGATCCATCAATGGAGGAAGAGATGCGGAGGCTGTCTCATCGAAACAGCTTCCCATGTTGTCTCTACATATAACTCCTTCCGTATTCTTATGGAACACCCTACACAAGACCCAGTCTTCCTGATTGGGAGGATGATAAGATCCTTGGAGACGGAATTCGTGCATGACCCAATCGGTTTTACGACCTCGAGGAGCTCGACCTTGATAGAACACCAATGTCTTCCTCATCCCAACAAGCTTACCCTTTCTTAGAATGGCTCTGTCTTTGCCGGTAGCTTTCCAATATCCAGTGGCCGTTGCTCGGTTTGTTCTCAGCCCCGTCGCGTATTTCCGGTCTCTTTGGCTATAGAAATACCAATCCTTCCCTCCCACGCATGCCATTTCTGATCATTTGAAACATACACACAAACATGTTTACAAGCCAACTTTTTGGTTCGAAAGACTCGCAATAGAAGAAATTTTGTCTCTTTGTTTACAAGCATTTAGCTTCGTAACTCGGTTAATCAACAAAAAAAAATATTAGAAGATACTGTTGAATGTAACTAGAAAAGTTTATTGAAATCTCATAACGATAAATCTTTTTCTCTTTAAAATATTCCATGTTCAAATATATCGGCTATTTTAGGATTTACAATAATAAGATACAATAGACATCCGTGAGTGATTGAACTAAGCATGTCAACATGTGATTCTTCAACCAAAACAACGAATAGAAATCCAACGCGTGTAAATGAGTAGGATTTTGATTTTATTTTATTTTTGTTTGAATAAAGAAAAATATCTTTGATCAAATGAGTGACGACTAAGCATTCAATAATTATTATGTAGTTGAAGGGTCAATTTATCTTTGATTTGAAAACTAATCAGGACCCATTAGAGGCGTAAGCAAAGGAGGGAATAAGAATACTAATTTTGATCAAACCCAACGAATTTTACTTTTTGAAACTTAAAATATGTCACACTCTAAGCCTATAAACCAACAAAATCGAGATATTGACTTTTTCGTCGTTACTAGCTTATTTTATTTTATCCAAAGCTTTATTTTCAAGAAATTTGGTTGAGGATAACGCCAAGAGTGTCAACTTCTCATATATAATTATCTCTGTCTCTCGAAATCTCCATATTATTACGTAATATATGTTTTTTTTTTTTATAACTTGTAATCATCTGATGAAATGAAAAGACTTAAAAATTTTGTGATAAATAGACTACATTGTATATAAACTGAATGCAAAAAATATGTGGTGACATCATCTTAAAGTTTATTGGTTCCAACTTTTTGTTTTTGTTGATATGGATTAACGAACTTCAAGTTTTGTTTATATAAAACCATGAACACGAAAGAAGAGCATGACATAATCTAATCTTTAATATGGACCAACCATATCAAAGTAAAACAGAGATATGGATTAATTAATAACAGATTGATATATATGATCAAGAATGAAAGAACACGTACTTGGGATGTCCCAAGGCTCACACTTGTTGAGGTCGACTTGGATCAAGACGAGAGGTGGTCGAGGATTATTGTGAAGCGATCGTTTCATCAAGTAATCGCAGACAAGCTCGTCGTCCTTCGGGTGAAATCTGAATCCTGGTGGTAACTTTGCCTCCACCATGCTTATACTACTTTCCTTCATCTCTTCTTCCGTCTCCATAATTGATCAATCTCTCTTAATTTCTTAGGTTTTAGTATTTGATTAGTGGATGGTTAAGAGGAAAGGAAAGATAAAGAAGGAGAGAGAAGAATAATTATTGGGATCATTTGGGTGTGTCCGAGGACGAAGACCCTTGGTTTATGTAGTAATTGTCCACCCAAGCCGTCAACTTCTATATATAGTATCATTTTAAAAACTTAATACGTATGTTAGTATTTCCATTTCAAATCAATTATTAATCACATATTTTTGCCAAGAACATAAAATGGATATAATAGTTGAGGATACATATATATAGAATATGAAAAAGTTGATATTCTCTGTGATTTATACTATTGAATGTAACAAAAAAGCATAAGAAGATAATGAAAATGTTCATAAATTGTTACAAAATGGTTTTTAACTTTTTAATAATGAATTATGCTCTCTGTATACATAAACAGTGGGATGGCTGCCATGAAACAGGAGACAACAATTAAAGAATGTAATACTAGCCTCCATTGATTCATTTCTTATAGTATAATGTTTTGATTTTATTTATTTTTTCCGTGGTTTAATTATTTCGAAATAGTTTTAGTAGTAGTTTATAACTATGAAACACATGTCAGTTTTTCTGATTATTATTTATGGTATCGCATTGTAATCTCCGTCTTTAAATACACGCGAATTGTATAATCATTTGTCGTAGTCATAGACACACAAATTGCTTAGTTTTTAAAACAACAAATCTAATCCGAGTAAAATCAAATGAGAATAATTCATGTGAACAGCTGGATTTGAAAGGCCCGCGTGGCCCAAAGACGTGGACCATTCATCTTGCCCTATGCTAAATTCCACGATTTATATGTTTAATAAATTCGGTGAATAAGTTTTCCTAATTAATTAACCAATGGTCATTTTATACATGGATTTTGGATATATAAACACTCAAACTTGCCCATTAATTGTGGATACGTCTATTGCATAGTTGCGCCTCGTGAATAAAACAAAGCCAGTGTCATTTTCGCCATTACCTCAGATCATTACATGCTAGTAGCCGTTTAATAACCAAGGAAAATCTGAAAGATTTTATTACCGACCGATTACAATAACGATATTGAATGTTAATTAAGATTATGTTAAGAGAAAATGAGATTATTGGAATAATGAAGAGGAAGAAGAAGCTGGTCCATATATAAATGTATGATTCAATGAAAGCGTGGTGAAGGTATTGGGTTCGATGTTGTCGTTTGTGACATTGGAGAAGTGGAAGTGATGGCCACAACAACAACTAACAAAAACTTTGTTTGTAGTGGACTTGGTCAAATTACTTCGATTCTATTAACTTTTTGACAATATTGGATAGAGACAAAAACTTATTTGAGTTTCTATTTAATTTCCATGTACTTCGATCGGAGTTATAGTTCATCTATTAGATTGGATAGAACCAAAGTTTTTGGATTATGTGCGGTATTGTGCATTCCATTATGATACAATATTGTATGTTTTAGCCCATGCATACGAATTATTTCTTTTTTAGTAGGTTTTTTCGGCTGAGGGTTCTAAGTTTAAACTCTAACGGATCATGCATGGCTTATCACCGTAGACAAATACAATGCATACCGAAATAAATTTATTCGGATTAGATTTCGAACAAAAAGAGAAAATACATCTTCATATCATATTAGGTGAAGCATCATTCAACTATATGTATATTTTAAATGTATATTATTAAATGTATATTTTGTGATTGGAATGATTTATGATTATTATTTATGTATACCTTGGTTTACATCGCAATCTAGGCCATGCTATTATTTATGTATGTCCAAGATTAAATTTTGAATCAAGACAAATATTCGACCGGTGGTTGAGATATTAGATTTTATGTTAGATAGCAAGGCACTCCAAGAGTCACTTCCGATATTTCCTTGACATACATTTTACATAATCGATTGAAGAATAGTAATATCAATACCCACAAAGACACAACCGTATGATAATTTGATATATATGACAACATAATTATATATATATATAGAATGTGATTTGTAATCTTTTATCAATGTGGAAAAGAAGCTAGGTACGAAAAGATGGTTTTATCAATTTCTTTGTATATCATTAGCTTTTAATTCTTTTTATATCAAGTTTATCGGTATAACCATAAAATGCAATATATTCTTAGTTTAAAAAGATATCGTTAACTCTTAATTCTTAGTCCAATTTATTTGTGGACTAAGATTTGCATTTTGAGGTTACACTAATGAAGTGTACGTAATGCATACTTATAGAGTTTATAGATATTTTTTCTCATATCATTTTATCGGTTTCATGCCAAATTAGAAAGCATAATATGGACAATACGAAGTGCGTACGTTAATCTTTATTGCTGTAAAACTAGGTATTAAACTCCCTTGATTTATTAAGATGTGATACAATGACTTATATAGAGAACCTCTCTAGGGTTTACAACAACCGACTATGACTTGAACAATAAGTTACGGGCCTAAACATGTGGCCCAAACTCTATCCGTAATACTCCCCCTCACGTTGGAGCGTGAAGGTTCTGAACGTCCAACTTGGACATTAAAAACTCGAACTGATTACGACCCAATGCTTTTGTAAAAATATCCGCCAGTTGCTCTTCCGTGCGAACATGATGAGTGGAAATGGTACCATCTTGAACGGCATCACGGACGGCATGACAATCGTTCTCAACATGTTTTGTACGTTCGTGAAAGACCGGGTTAGCAGCAATATGGAGAGCAGCCTTGTTATCGCAGAAGAGACGGACCGGTTGACGATGTTCAATTCCCAATCCTTTCAACAACTTGAGCATCCATTTGATTTCCTTTAATGCAGCTGCCATGGCCCTGTATTCAGCCTCCGCGGAAGAAAAAGAGACTGTTTCTTGTTTCTTGGTTTTCCAAGAGATAGGAGAATCACCTAGAAAGACAATGTAAGCACTGAGAGAACGGCGGGTTAAGGGACAAGACGAATGATCAGAATCACAATAAACTGTTAGAGACAAATCTTTATCAGCCTTGAGAAGAATCCCTTGTCCAGGTAACCCTTTCAAGAACTTGACAATACGCAACGCTGCAGCCCAATGAGCTTCCCTTGGGGCTTGCATGAACTGGGACAGTACATGAACCGAGTAACTTAACTCCGGTCGTGTATGTAAGAGATACAAAAGACGACCAACAAGTCGCCGATATGGCTTAGGATCAGCGAGTAACGGACCATCATCACGGGCAAGGCGATGATTTTGCTCTAGAGGAGTCGGAGAAGGCCGTGAACCAAGCACCCCACAATCGGCGATGATATCTAACGCATACTTGCGTTGCGACAAAAAAATTCCTTCAGGACCTCGACTGATTTCAATGCCAAGAAAATACTTTGGTTTGCCTAAATCTTTCATCGAAAAGCATTTACCCAAGTATTCTTTGAACTTCTTAAGCATATAGCCATCATTACCACAAATCAAGAGATCATCAACGTAGATCAACACTCGGAGTTCGATATCTTTATGTGTGTAGGAAAATAAAGAGTAATCATCATAAGATTGTACGAACCCGAATTTGAGAAGAGAATCTGACAACTTTTTAAACCAACAACGCGGAGCTTGTTTCAATCCATACAGAGATTTGCGAAGTCGACACACTTTATCAGGATGAGAATGACGAAATCCAGGAGGAAGCTTCATGTAAACTTCTTCGTCAAGATCACCATGAAGAAACGCGTTGTGAACATCCATTTGGTACATCTCCCATTGATTTGCCGCTACTAAACGAAGGAGTGTACGAACTGTTGTCATTTTGACCACGGGAGCAAAAGTCTCAGTGTAGTCTTCACCTTCAACTTGATTATTGCCGAGAGCAACAAGACGAGCTTTGTAGCGTTCCACTGAACCATCCGAATTAAACTTTGTTTTGTAAACCCATTGACTTCCAAGAGCAGTCTTGTTTGGTGGCAAGTCGCATAGATCCCAAGTCTTGTTGATTTCGAGGGCATCAACTTCTGTAGTCATGGCTTTATTCCATACATCAATTTTTACCGCCTCTTTAAAATGCTTTGGCTCGACATTACTTGTAATAGCCGCCAAGAAAGCCCTATGACCAGAAGAAAAATAGTCATCGGATATATAATCAGACAAAGGGTATTGTGACTTACAAGGAACCGAGTTTGAGGACTGATATAAAAAATTGATTCTTAACTAAAGAATCGAAAAACTAGAACAGCGGAAGACTTTTAGGTTATAGATCTTAGCTCTGATACCATGTAAAACTAGGTATTAAACTCCCTTGATTTATTAAGATGTGATACAATGACTTATATAGAGAACCTCTCTAGGGTTTACAACAACCGACTATGACTTGAACAATAAGTTACGGGCCTAAACATGTGGCCCAAACTCTATCCGTAATAATTGCTCACAGTTTATCACAAACTCGACAAAATTTGGCTAGAATATAATGGTATCATATCGACCAGAAGATTGGTCCGCTTTTGCGACTGAGCTCTTTGATCTAAAGCTTTTGCAATTCTAGTTTCTTTATTTTGACATCATTAGACGAAAATAAGATAATTAGACAGAACATAATTTCTCGTTTGAAATACTAGAATTGTAACGTTATCTTTTCTTTGCAAAAATATATTTGTTGTCATACTGATTGATTAGCTATGGATGTAAAAAAAACCATACTATTTTTTCTTAATGAAAGAGGAATTGTTTTTGTTGAAAGAAAACAAAAATGCTTATATGTATGAATTCACGAAACGTGTGCTTATGATCAAACTCAATTATTGGTTGGTAGGTGACCATAATGAGAAAAAAATAATACCAATTCACATAATAAGAAAAAAATAAATGCTCACACGAACCAGATCTAAATAAATGTTTGTTTTCAATAACACAAACATATTGACACACAAAAAATGGTCAAATAATATTAGGCCCATAACATAGTTAAACCCGGCCCATTAAAAATAACCGACCCGAAAGCTTCCGGTAAATGAAACAAGTGTTGTGTACGGTGTACCTGAGAGTGAGCTGTATATAATGCTTGTCTCTGTCACTCCCACTTCTCTCCCAAATCCTTTTAACACTGATTTTTGCCGGCAAAGATTCTTCTTTTTTTCTCCTATCAACTTCTCAATGGCTTCCGCTTGCGTGAAAAGTG